AGAATGCTTAAAACAGCTTCAACTGGATAATTGATTGTACCTGATTAATGCTAAATTTAATTTCAGTTTTATCTGTAAGCGTGCGGTGCCTTGTTGTTTAAATGCTTAAATTCCAACTGTCGATCACCCCAAACGTATGCAACACCGGAATAAATGCCTACTGCTCATTATAAAATCGGGTCAGAGATCGAAATTTAACTAGCAAATGATTTGTTAATCTCGGCTTGATTCTAATTCAGCATAATATGCCCGTAGAATATCAAGTTGCGGTTCTTTTCTCCTATCTGGCCACAAGTTCAACTTACCCACGACCTCGTATAAAGGCATAGATATGACCATGCAAATTTCACCTGCACCAGAGATTGGGTTTGGGTATTGCATATTTTGTCATATGCAGAATGGCTATTAAATATGTGCATGACATGGTATGGAGATTTCAACAATAGTTGGATGCCTTTAGAGAGTTATGGACATTTGCAGTACCTATCAGAATGGCGAGTTTTCAGTGATCAATGGGAAGTTCATTGTTCCCGTTTGAATGGCAAGCTTTTCAATGGAAGTATTATATGCTGAATACAATGAAAGGTTTGTAAAACGCTTTCAAGGACCGAAATTGAACTTTGAAAATAAGAACATGTTCTTTATTTGTGGCTTACATAAATTCACTCCCCCACACAGTTTAGTTACCCAAAAATGACACTAATTTGGTTAATTACTAACAAGTTTATACATAATGCGGCCAGCTGAACCCACTTTCTTGGCCAAGATCGATAGGTGCCATTTACTAGCCATCAGTAGGGTAAGTATTTGGTCTCTAGAGATCAGTGGTCCAAGTATAGTTACGTTCAGCATTCATAACAACAAAAAGCATAGGGAAAAGAGCCAAAACGGAAAAATGCAATTGCATTTTTTTGCATTTCATTCGGTAAAGCGAAAAAGATCAATAGAAATCAAATAATACGAGAAAACTTGCCGAGTCTGGGGGATCAATCACATTTATGGTAATTAAACTTACATAATCGTTGCCGTTGGGGTACATGGACCGTATGCCTTGACAAATTCAATTCAAATTTTTTGTTTTGACAAATTTGGTGTGTGAGGGGGGGAAAGATGTAAAATGCTTAGATAAGCCGGCCGCATATCGATGGCGATATAGATATAACGCGTGGAAATGTAGCAACTTTATTATGCAGCCAAGATGTTGGGGAAAACACTGGTGTGGCACGCGGTGCACGGGGCGGGGTGCGGGGTTCTTCCGCGAGGGGTGCTGCACTCCATTGTAGCACAATGAACGGCTGTTTTGTGGTTCTTGCACTTTCGCTTTATTAATATGCACACCACCTACATTTGTGTTGCTCGCTTTTCTCAATCCCAATCGGATACGCGATTTCTCCGCTGCAGTTCAGTGGCCAGCTAGAAGGGATCGCCGGATTGGATCGCATCGGCGGCTCAGTTGAAATCGTATCGGATCGAAATCCGTTAATTCCGTGCATGCTGCATAAAGCAGAAGGGAAATTGTTACGGGAAGACGATCTGCGATCACAGATCACCGTTCCGCGATCGATGCGGATGCTGGGACCATTGTTCTACTGCTGAATTGCAAATCAGGCCCATAGTTCTCACTGCTGCAATTTGACGTTTGTTGGGGCAGGCAGTACCACAGTTCTTCCCTGGATGATTTTCCGTTTTCCACACTGGAAAAAACAATCTTGTACGAGAGCATACAATGGAGAGCAATCTCTTTTGTGAGCTGCCAAGAGTCTGCAAGGAGTTCTTTAAGGAAACTGGCTCCTTAATCCGAAATGTACAATGATATTTCATGAAATAGGGATATTAACTTTTAAGCAGAGGTTTGATATTGGAGAATAGAAAAACCTAACGGCTTCACCGAATGCTAATATTACTTAGTGAGCATATTTCGAAATTATACTTGAATATCAGTCTATGATTTGAATTGACCCCACTTAGACGTGCTATATTTCTTGCAGTGGATGTGGAAGCTCCAGTTCAGTCAACCCGCCTGGTCAACGACTCTCTAGCCGCTGGGCACACGTGGGTGTGGAGCGTGGTGTCGTTGCCGTGGCCTTGTCGCTTCCCCCATCCCCATCCAGGTTGAATGTCCCGTTGTGTCTTTGAACTCCCTGCCAGGGCTATGGCCATATCTATATATCCATGGGTCTGGCTATGGCATAATGCCCACCGAAGTCGCCAGACAGTCAGACGTCTCTGATGAATGAGCCAACGAACCCGCCGGCCGCTGGCCGCTGGCCGCTGGCATCAGTCGCCGCACACCGAAAAAAGCCGAGAGATATAGTAAATCAAAAAATAAGCAAATACCAGCCAAAAATCGAAATATACCTGACGCGATCTTCGCATGCAAATGGGGAATGGTGGAGTTCTCCCCCCTGCGATGGTCACTAATTAAAATTACAAATTCGCCCTCGCCCAGCATTGGGCAAAAGGAAGACGCCTCTTCTGGCTCCGGCAATTAGCATCGCTGGGCTAGGTTCTTTGCCGGATTGATATATGCATAAAGACGGCTACGTGACTTGAATGAAAACGCTCCCCCGATGACAAAATCCTTGATCATGGCGTTCATTGATCTTCGCTCTGCCATCTCCAGAGACTTGTTGCCAAGTCGAGGTTCCAAAACTGCAGCTAACGAATATGAAGCTCTTCTAAGGAATTTTCCATGGCAAGTGGGGCAAGAAACAGTGGTTTCGAGATGCGGCTGAAAGTAGGTGTAATGTCCTTTATATATATATTTATATATCGTATATAAAGCAATACTGGTACCAAGTCATAACAATTTAAAGACAATATCGTAAGATATCTAAATCATTTGCCTTTCGATTTCTGAATTGAAAATCGTATGCTTCTTGTTAATAAAATGCATCATTCCCATCGAACAATTGTTCACACCATGGACCATCATGCCACAGCGCAATTCGCGCTGATAAATATTTTCTGGCATCAACTTGCCATATATTTTCATTATGTGCGACACAGAAAGTCGTGTTTTATTTCAACACAAGTGGATTTTAATAATAAAATGTGTCTAATTTGGTACCCACTCGGCGTGGACAAGAGAAGAAGGAGAAACCTGATTGCAGCAGCGCCTTTTTATATCTGTTATTCCTCCTGCCCACCACCAGTGGTGGACCAGTGGTCCACTGGAGCATGGGATGCGATGTGCCATGCTCTGTAGGCACTTTCCTCGGCCGCTTCCTTCTCGGCCTTATGTGGTACGTGCGAGGCGTCAATGCTTCATTTCCCCTGTCATCTTAAGTTGATTGCGAGTTACGACCGTGTTGACACCCTACCTGTCTCGCTCCTCCTTCCCGGTTAACGGTAATTGCAGTTGCACATGCGTGCGCCGGGGTTATGCCTCGCGATTATAAGTGCACTCCGGGTTCGGGATCGGGATCGGTATCGGGATCCGGGATCGGGCGCGGGTGCGGATTTGGGACTTCGAGGTTAATTCCCGGCCAGGAGTGGGCCATGTGCGGGCGGCTTATTAATCAGAGCGTTCGTTGCACAACGCTCCTGCCACGAGTCTTTCGACCATGATTCATGCTTAATTGGCTCCAGATAGACACACTGCAAAAAAAGAGCTCCAATTAAAATTGTGACAGCTTTGCAGACGAAGAAAATGTAAATGTATACGAAATTATACTTATCGAATGGAAAGAGGTGCACATCAATTCCAAGAACATATTATTCCTCTTTAACATTATTAACATTATTTACTTAGATTGAACATTTCTCATTGACAGTTTTATATGTATTTGCAGTAGTAAAACCATGCATTTGGCTAAACTTTGAGCATTTACAGAAAAATATCCAAGTGCTCCAAGCCGAGAGGCAGACCAAATCGCGTATCCAAGCGCGAGACCAATCCAAGCCGTAAGCCGTGCAAATCTCACCCAAGTTGTCAATTTCACAGACAACACATTTCAATCAAACTTCGTCGTGCCATAAATAAGCCGCCAAGTGGACAGATCCAAAAACCTGGTCCACTCCAGTCTTTTAAGTCTCCCTCGCTTAAATTACACATTGTACTTGCGGTGGGCTATATATGTTTATATATATATATGTGTGTACAGGCTGAGCACGCCTAACGTTCACATTTTTCCACATGAAATTATGAAGTTTCCATGGCAATTAATACGCATGCGCAGAGTTGCGAGCTCCAGCGGGTCCGAATCCCAGCCGCAAATCCCAAACTGCCATTCCAGGCGGGTGTTGTCGTCCGTCTCCAAGCGGCTCGCATGTCAATTTGATGGCAATTAACTTGGCTTCGCTCCGGCTTTTGTTTTAATAATAAATTTAATGAGCTGCCAAAAATGGTTGCAAATTTACGTGGCAATTAGCGCTCTAAATGACGGCGACACTTGGCCAAGAGATCGTGTCTGGGCGGAAAGCTGCGACTCCAAATGTGCAATGTGTGTCCGTCTGCTCCATTTTGCTAATGAGCGCTGCGATTTTTCTCGTATCTTTGGGGCTTGGCTATGAGGTGGTGCTGGGTACTCAGTGGTTTTCTGTGTGGATTGTGGTGCGATGGCATTTGGAGGGTGTGGTTACTTAGTTTTTCGGCGGTGGGTCCGTGGCTGCAAGGTGACTATGTTGGTGGTGGCATGGGTTGGTCATCCACGTGGCTAGCAATCTGCTGGTTAAATTTTAATATGAGCGTATAAGAATAGATAAAAGCATTATAAATTCACAAAAACAAAACAAAAAATTTGGTAAAACTAACGAGCAGGCATCGATGCTAAAAATAAATAGTGCAACTACAAATACTAAAAGAAATATTGCAACTATAGATACTAAATATAAATATTGCAACTATAGATACTAAAAATAAATATTGCATAATTTGCATAGCCAATAACAGATACTAAACATATATACTTACATATTAACTACAACATGTTACACCCAATTCAATAAAAAACACTTAAGGATATTTAAAAAAAATATCATTTGTTTGAAAACGCCTTTACAAATTGTGGGCTTTTATAACAAAGATGTGGCAGCGCTGAAAGCAAACTTCAAAACGCGAAGATATTTTCATCTATATTTCCGACATCTGGGGATGGTATCCGTACAGCTCGTACAGCTCTCTCTTGGATAGAGTGCGCTCCATGTGCCCGGGCTCCAGTTGAAAGTGTCGAGGCAGGATCTTCCACTGCCACATGTTGAAGTAATTGTACTCTCCTGACTCCTGGAATCCGATAAACAAATAGTTGGGATTGTCCGTCTGCCGTATTACCCAGATGCGCTCAAACTTGTGATAGCGCCAGCCACGTTCCGCCAGTTCCGCCGCCGCGAGCATCTGCATCATGTCGCCAGTGTATGTGTAGAAAAATAAAAAAAGAAGCTCCTCCTGCATTTCCTCGGTTTTGGGCTCCTGTAGGTTTAACTGTGCAGTAATGAGGAAATTCAATGGCAAATTGTAGCTCATCTCGTGTGGACTCAAACTGCCTCCTGGAAGTGGACCGGAAAAGATCGACTCCGCGGCATCATTCACATTGTGCGAGACACTGTTCCCGAATAGAAGCGGATTCTGTTGGATCGATCCCAGTTTCTTGGCCAGGCCCAACAACCCGAAGGATCCCTCAACAGCGGCGCCTGGAGCTTTCGGCTGCACATGCCACATCCTTTCATAAATGGGTGAGCCCAGCTCGAAGTTGACGCCACCCAGTGGCATACCAGTGTTGTTGGTAGTTAGGCGTGCAAAGAGTTTGGAATTCTCGAAGCCAGGTGGCGGATGGATTCTGTTAGGTACTTGGGTAGCCCTCTGGTGGGTCGCATTTACGGCCCTCTGCATGACGCCTTCTTGCAGGAATTGCTTGTTAAATATTAGGCTCACATTTAAACTGGACGGATTGCTCAGATATCCGTACAACTGGGGCAGGAACTCCAGCTCCCGCGGTTGCTCCGAAACATGGTTTCGCTGATGGAACACCTCGATGCCGCTGGTGCTGACATTCCGATCAATGAGCATCACCGCATCTCGATATTTGACCAATTCGACGTGCTCGCTTTCGCTAAACATGGCGGTCCAGTCCTCGGGTATCCCAGAGCTCGGAGTGGATGGTAATGCCGCAGAGGTGGCTCCTGGCAGAGCGGGAAAGTCCTCGCGAAAGATGCTGAACTCCGGCACAAGTGGAGGGGGCGGTGGATGGGACGGTAGCGACTCCTTCTTGGGCTTATTCTTCACCACATCCACGTACAAGATGGGATATCCGTTCGGGGTCTGCAAAGACTCGGGCGATGATAATGGCGATTGGTAGGGTGGCGGTGGCGGCGGACTTGGAGAGTTCTCCCTCTCCTGCTGCTCATCCACTGTCTTGGAATAATGACGTTTCATATCGCAATTAGGATTTCTATTAGACTCACAGCTTATTCTGTAATTTACAGGAATTTCGAGCACAAAATACGCGTGACAGAGATTTCTTTATTTTGCAGTACTAGGGCTCGCCAAAATGACATTTGAAAGAGCGCTAATCAACACTGGTTTCCGATAGAATATTCGATATAAAGGTCGTAGTCGAATATGTAAAGTGCGCGAAATTACTAAAAGTTTGGAGTTAATTAGTAGTCGAATATGTAAAGTTTTGAGTTCAAAAATGTGGTAATGGGTTTTCTTATACCAGATTTGAATTGTCTAAAAACAATGCTAAACATCCTTAAATACTAAAATCTGTAACCGATTAAGCAATACAATATTATGTAGTACGAGTGTGCAGAAATACGTAAGTCGTTTTTCAGCAGAGAGGCGCAAATCACAACAAACCTGAAATATTGGGTTTAATAATAAATTAACTTCTCGCATTGTGTGGGTGCCACGGAAATTGCCACAAAGCAATTTCAAAGTTATGGTCATAAATTCAAAAAATTCACCTGCGCAGCTGCCAAAGAAAAATGAATAAAATTGTGCATGGAAGAATAAGAATGAGACGGACCTATAAAAATTCACCTATAAAAAACGAAATAAAAAACTGGCGGGGAGTATAACCCATTAACTTAAACTGACACCATACTAACATAAATCTCGTACCTTGGCCAAGCAAAAATCTCTGGGAATTGACAAAAGGAAAGGACAGTTGAACGCGGAGAGGAGCAAAGGTGGCCATAAGAAGGCGGTGGAAAAAGATCTTGGCTAATAGTCCAAGTGCTCCTGCCCACTAAATGTTGAGGAGCGCGTTGGTCATTTGCCTGCCGCAAATCAACGAACTTGTCCAGCTTCCACAAGAGTCACAACACTCTTGGCATCAGGTGCACGGCTCCCACTGCTCCATGCCCAGGCTACCCAAATTAAGCACAAATAATATAAAATACAATAACGTAGAATCGCAACCGCTGGCAAAGAAAAATGATACACATAATCGCTGGATGGCCAAGTGCAGAATGCCCAGATAAAAAAGAACTAGAACCGTAGCTTGAAATACCCTATCATTAGCTACTGAGCTTTGGGCTGCCTATTTTATATAAGACGAACTTGCTGCTTTGATGATTGGATGCGAGGTATGAAGCTGATCCCAAGTAACCATTAAATACCGCACTCCTGATTCAGCACCCTTTGGAAATACCCCTCAAGAGAGTATAGCAATGCATCCAGATCCCAGGAGCGCGACTAACGAAGCCAGCGAAGCCATCACGAACTGCGGGCAGAAGCTGCTCCGGCCACATAAAGCACAATAAATCATACTCATGTTGCCGGGTACAGCGAAAAGCGACAAAAGCTGCCTGCTCCGCTCCACGGATCGCAGCCATACTGGCCTGGCCACGATCGGCTGGCACTTGGCCCACAGATGGGTCAGGGCAATTGCGAGGCCATTATATCGCCATTGCCAGGGCCACAGCCATGGCAAGTGGAGTCTCTAGGCCACTGAGGTGTCAACTGGAGGCGATCCTAAATTGGATTTTGGACTTCGTTTGATTGCAAAATGCTCATTTGTTGTATTTTCAGAATGGTTTTCTCCCGCACTTGGCGTAAGCTAAGATTTCTAGTTTACTTAGCCATTTACTCATTTCAAGGTGATGGCACACTGAAAACTAAAACTAGAACTAGGCTTCAACCAAAAATTAACTATTCAGGTATTCAGTTATATATACAAAGATTTGTTGCATGCTTGGACTTTGCGTAACCCTAAACTGAATCGTTTTTCATGGAACTACTAATGAAATTGTAAGCTTACATATGGTAGGAGTATAAACTATTCTTTCGCAGAGTGTGCGAAACGGCACCGGGGATCGGGATCTGTTGGCTTGGCCATCAAGGCGTGCATTATGGAAATTAGCATCGGCTTAAGAGACGCCCCATTCGCCGGCTCAAATGACCCAACTTCAAGCTGCACCGGGTGCGTGCCGCCATCTCGGCTAATGACCAGCGGGAGCAGCACTTGTAGTTGCATCTAAGACATCAGTGAGCACCGAAAGAAGCTCTGGAGGCAGTCGTCCCACAGTCCGGCGAGTTTTACGAGCTCATTGGAACTGCTGGCCTGGGCACGGGAAGAGCCGAAACATGTGTACATATTCCTCACCTCAGTGGGCTTAGTGGCAGGCGGCGGGCCATTAGCCAAAGCGCTCACCATAATGGCCATATGTTTATGAGGTTCTTGCCAGTCTTTCAAAATTATTCATAATAGGCGTACATCACTCTTGTGACTTAGTCCGCCTCTGTGGGCGTTCATTTTGTCAAGTTTTTCATATTTACAACACCGAGTGCATAGACTAAACTTTCAAAGTTGCTGTTACCCTGTTTGGAACATGTTTAATCCTACATTAAACTGTAAAATGTATAACTTAAGCTGTTGCAGCTACAAAAAATAAAAGAAATACATTATTTTTTAAATAATGAATGCTGCACACTTCTGTAGAGGATACAACTTTCCTGGCTGCAAGACGCAGAAAAAAACATTTCAAGCCTCAGGACATTTATTAGGAATTCAACTGAAGGTATAAAAATTAATTACCTTGAAATATTTAAATGTAAATACCACTCACTATTTACTTTGGTAATTAGGGGAGCCTGTGCTGAGGTCCCGAGCTGCATTTACGATCCAGCAGCCATGGGCAAACAAATTATGAGCCATCATAAACATTGGCATCACAGACATCGGTTCGCCAACAATTGGCATTCGCAATCAGAGCAGCCGGAGCAACTGCAGCACGCACTGCCGGCAAGTGAATGGCAGGCGGCAGTAGCCACGACAGGTTGACTCCAGGTTGACTCCAGTTGGACTCCAGTTGGACTTCAGGTGGACTCCAGGTGGAGAGCTGGACTAAGTGTAAGCCAACGTAGGTGGCACACACATCGGACCGCAGAGTTGGTGTGCCTGGCGGGGATCGGGGACAGTCACTAACTGGCCAAGTGTCAAACTTGCCAAATTGAAAACGAACTTACGATGCAATCGCCGATTTGTTTATGCTGCCGTTTTGAACCGAACGCAATTATATTTATTTACTCTTTTTTTCCCCCTTTTTTTTAGTTTTGTATACTTCCTTGGCTGTAGTTTTTTGAATTTAATGAAATATTACGCGCACGTGTCAGCGAAGCGATAAAATTTATTTACGCAGCATTGCGGGTCAAGTGAAAGCACATTTTTCTGCAGGCCTTCGGACCTTCAAATTGAATTTACGCTGGGATTTCGGGCGAGTGGCGAATTAAAAATCGAAACCGAAATCGAAATGTAAACCTGACTTAAAAATGGGCGTAGGGCAGTCGCATTGACACGCGGCCATATTTTAAATGTCAACAGGCTGGAGAGGATCGGATCGGATGGGATGGTATGGATGGTATATTCCGATTCCGATACAGATACAGATACCCATTCGGATCGGAACCCAAGGATGGGGCAATCCGCCTTGTCCCTGCCCATGCGCATCAGAAATTCAATAAAATACCATTAAATTACAAAATGAAGACAATTCATTTTTCTTGTTTTTCCTTATTTTCGATTCTTCTCGATGCGATTGCATTTTGTTTCTTAAAGTAGGAGCATTTACTGTCGCTTTGCGGCTATAAGCAATAAAGTATTAAAATCCTTTTGGCTTATAAATGTTGAAAGCGACATTTATCGTAATATTTTACGAAATCAGTGAATTTTCGGTGAACGTTGCAAGTTGTGCATTGCAGTTGCTCAGTTGCTCAGTTGCCCCTGGAAAATTGACTTGCTGGGTATTCCAGGTTCTATTGTGCGGCCATAAAACTGGAATGATGGATGTTAGCTGGCCTGTTGTTGAATCCGCAATTGAGGCTTAATTTATCTTGATGTACTTGCTTCGCAGTGGGTTGACAAGGTCAAAGATTATGGTTTCGATTTGCTGGTGATGTATGCTCATTGTTCATGCTGAATGACCCGAATCGCTTTGTATAGAGACATTGTTTTTCAAGATTTTATTTCGGTGACTAATTTTTCTGTTGATAACTGAGCATGGGCTTTTAATTGTAAAATGTTGAAAACATATATTTTACAGGGCATCCCAAAGCAATTGCGCTGAATCCACCGAGCAAGGATCATAATTTCGGCCATAATCGAATACCAGCTGAGGAAAAAGGGCAAAGGGAAAGGTACAGATCGGATCGGATCGGGCCAAGAGTAATGGCCAAGGGTTGGCCAGGGCAACGCCCATCACATACTACCGAATCGAATCCGGCGCGATTTTTCTTATTGCCTTCAACTTTGCACTGCCAAAAATACACATAAACATACCATGGCCCAGAAAAATAAAAACACAACAAAAAATCCCAAAAAAAAAACAAGACAGAAAACGAAAATACAGCAAGCAAGGCGCACTTTCAATTAATCAAGGAAATTAATTAAGCCCCATGGATGGATGGTGGTGCAAACTGCGGTTCAGTGACCAGCCAGCGGGCAGCACGCCTGCCCGATTGCAACATAATTTTCATTTGGCTCAGCGTGCGTTTTCATCGTCGCGGTTATCATTTGGACATTTGGACCGCGACTGGGATTCGGAGTCGGAGTCGGATTCGTACTCGCATTCGCATTCGGATTCGGATTCAGATTCGGATTGGAGCAGCGTTGAGCTTCAGCCTGGTCAATTAGCACGCATGTTGCTCGACGGGCGCTGGCGGGCGGGCGATAATTAAACGCAGGTCGCTGAGGTTCGCTTGCCAGTCCGCTGGTGACAATTGGCCACGATTTATGCGCGGCTTATGCCCGATTGCGCAACGTTTTATTCCAAATAAATTTTCGCGCCTAATCGCGCACCACCAATGGCTGCGTGCTGCGCTCCGTCGGCCGCCTGGGTTAATGGGTAATCGGAGTGGTCCACTAAACCTCCGAGTGGTAGTAGCTCAGCACGATGACGACGTCCGCAGTTACAACTGTGGGCGATTGGTTGGTGGAGAGTGGAGGCTTGGAGGTAATCACTTACAGGCAATCAAGAAGAACGCGTAGGACATCAAAATGTAGTCGGTTACACCGAGGGAGGCAATGAGCATGTGGCTGTTCATTTCGATTATCAGGCCACAAAGACAAGTCACCAGGTGGACCGGAAGCAGGTGCGGATTATCCTGAAACAAAGGACTGCGCTCAGATAAACAGAAAGTATTTCGATAAAATGTTTTTATTCAATAGTTAATTATATGATTCCATTCACTTCTGACACATAATGCTGATTCTATTATGGCAGTTCGATCTTACCCGATAAAGTGCAGTCAACAGAACCAATTCGGAAAGGATATTCCAAACGGTGGAAATCATCGCGAGGAGTATTATATCACCGCAATAGTGATTCTCAGTATATATAGCCGCTATTGCATCTAATAAATCCATGGTAAGACCTGCATACGCAATTGTAAAGGCGCCAGTTCTCAGACTAAAACAATAGCAAAACTTCTTGATTATTGGCATCCTGCGATTAGAGGGGCACTTTCTCAGCGAGTGAATCTTAGTCACATACGTGACAATTCTAACGTCCTTTCGAAGAATTCTCTTCCGAGCTCCATTTCTATGCCCAGGTATCCGAGGACCCGAGGACCGAGGAACTCCTTAGAATTCCACTAATTCCGGATCACCACTTTCCTAAGTGTCTTGTGTGCATTTAAATTTTGTTTATTTTACAAAAAATATGACATTTTAAAAGGTGCTTACTTAAACTAATGGGCCGTGGAAAAGTTCATTTAAAGAAATTGGCTATAAAACTTGCAAAATGCTGGCGTTTGGAGGGAATCTGGGTATAACACTCAACTTAATCGTGTTTATTTCCTTCTGCCTTCTGCAAACTTGCAAATACGAAAAAAAAAAAGTACACAATCCTCTGATCTGATATAGAAACCTGGATAGGCTTCATTTCCTTTCCACTCAAAAATTAAGGGTGTCATTATCATATTTTGTATATTCAGATACATTTCCACATACTTTCTTGCACCCAGATTGTTTCAAAATTAAAAGTAAAATTGTAATATAGTAAGATGGGGTCAATGGGATCCTCCCGTAAGAAGCGGATTGTGCCGCTTTCAAATGATTTATTGAGGGACATTATGGCCCACGGGAATGAGTATCAAACACCAGCCGGAAACTATGAAGAGGTAGAGCAAGTGGGTGATACCAGAGCAGCTGGTCGATCTGGGGCAACCAGTTTCCCCCAATCCCTGCCACAGGATGCGAGCCGACGCACTGGTGGATTTGCCGATGGACCCATTGCGGGTAACCCTCCCGTTGTGTTGGCCTTCCTTCCCAGATCGAAATCAAAGAAATCTAAGGGGAAACCGATTGTTAACAACGAAAAGGAGGTTAAGGAATCATTGGTTGAGCTTTGGGTCAGGGATCCCGCCAAAAGAGTGGCCCAAAAGGTTATCCGATCCTTAGCCCCGGATAAAGTCAGCTTGGAAAAGGTGACACCCAGTGTGGTTTTGTCCAGAATTGAGGCACGCTTGGACTCCTTGGAAAATGAAGTGCACGAATTGCAGAAGATGTTGCCTATCCCCGTCAGTCCCGATCAGCATAAGACGGCTATGAGGGGCGGAGCACATGGCTTAAATCGCTCGCAATCCACTCTATTGCTGGGCCCAAGGTCGACCTGTGACCTGAGACGCATCAATTCCTCCAGCGGATTGTATCTGCGAAGTAAGCAGTCGCTGGAAGAGCGCAATAGCAACAGGCATCTGTACTGCGACATGCAGATGCATCTGGTCAATATGATAGTCGTGCCCAAATCAAGAACCTCGCTTTTTCTCAACCAGCAAAAGGAATTGAACTCCCAACTGGGTGGACACCTGGGCAATTGGCGGCATCAGTATTCGGATGAGGATTGGATGCGGGATATGGAGGCGGCCGACTTCCTCAATGGCAACTCCAAGAATGTGCGTCGTCAGTGAAAGTAAAAGATTTCTTGGCTTGCCTCCCAAACAAAGATTGAGAAATTGTGCCTGTCATGTGATGGGGGGATCGGGGCTTGGAATTTTTCGGGAAAAGCTTTTAGCTGGGACATCTGTCTGCGGTTAGGGCTAAAACAAAAGCCATGTTTTGCTGCGGCACAGTTTTTCTATGCCAATGCCTCGGGCGTTTTTAATGTGTAAGCTTTCTTCTTTGGCATCTGCCTGAAAGGGTTAAGCGGCTAAGATCCCATTTCTATTTCAATGAAATGGAATAATACAAGTTCCACTTACGTAGATAATGTTTTCTCCCAAACTAAATTTATTTTTACTTGTTACCTTCTTATAATGTCATAGCACTAAGCCGCTGAATTTTCCCTTAGTGTTGAATGCAACTTTTACCCAGCTTTGACAGCAATTTCCCTGACATTGCATGTCGATCAGGCGAAAATCCTGCATTCTCCCTCTGCCAACATTTGCCAATTTGGGCTTGAAAGTAATGATTTTTATTACTGCAGCGGCAGCACTGAAAACTGCCCCATCTGGAGTCACTTCGTCATGTTCGTGGTGCAGCGATAACCGCGGGCTCTTTGCATTTTGGCCAAATATTAGCACACAATTCGATTTTGCATGCCAGCCTTCTTTTTTCGCGGAGGGGCAGGTGAAGCAGGTGCGGGGAAAGCAGTCAATTTTCACGAGTGCAAGTGGCGAGTTTTCCATGACACTCCATGATCTCTCCAATGTCCACCGGCAGCTGTGCGCTATTCGCTTTCACCTGTTGGCCTGAGTTATGTAAAAATCCACTGTCAAATTAATGGTGATTTATATATGCGGTTTAATGGGCACTTGGCATGGGATGCGGGCACTCCGTTTACGGTGATCATGAGCACAGTGTGAATGTGCTCAGTAGATTGGCCTTAAACTGTTGCTGTGGGTGAATTATTTTGAATACGCCGCGAAAGGAGGCCATAATGCTCAGTACATCATTTTAGAATGAGTTGCCATAGATGGGAATATAAAAATATTTCCATGGGTGAAGAGTAAGAAATGCGCATACCAGAAAGTTTTTATGGCTAAAAAGTGTTTTTCTTTCAATTGCAAACTACACGTTGCACTGGTAAAACGCAGGTAAATTGCATACAAATATTCAGGAAATTTGCAAAAACTTTAATTTTCAATAATTTCTTGCAATGCAAGGACGGGCTCGCACTGAACAACACCCGACAAGTGGTGCCGCTTAATCCGTCGTTTAGTTGGACATCCGCGGAATGTTAAACCCATGCACTTAGCGATAATCCAAGTCAAACAAAATGCCTACAAGTGGTCGGGGCTCCCACTGCCGCACCATGTCGGGGGCAATTACTTGGACCTGGACTGTCCAGGAGTGACTGATGATGGGATCCAGACACCGTCGCAGGCGTCGCGACAAAATGCCACCGCACTCAAACTCAAATCCAAGACACTTCTCGCCAGTGGTGACAATAAAAGTGCAATGCAATTTGCGAGTGCGTCTCTAATTGAGCCCACTCTGGAGACAATTGTAGGATATATCATACACAGCGAGAAATTTTCGGTAGAGCGCGATCGCAGTGTACGTCTTCCTACGAGGAAGGTATCTACTTTTTGAGTGACTGATCCCGTCGAAAATAAGAGGGGTATATTTTTTATTTAAGTTTATAAAAAACAGTAGTTAAAAACCTATGTAGTTAAAAATTCAGTCGTCCAGCTGCATAAGTCAATGTAAATCAGCAGACGTTTTTAGAAAGGAGCTCGAGTTGTCAGTCTTTGATTTAGTCAACCCAAGGCTCTGAAGGCTCCGCAGTTTTCTCGCCTGCCAGGTGACAATCAGCTGTTATATTTTAACACGAAATTATTTCTTTAATTTTGCACACACATGAGCGGAAAAGCGTGAAGGAAAATAGAAGGGGCAGGAGCAGTTGAACCTAGTGCGATTGGAATTTCATTTAGAAAGTTGCACTGGTGGGGTTTAATTTGCATTTGCCAACTCTGAGCGACATTTGGCCAGGGGGCGGAGGTGCAGGAGGCACTGTAACCGAAGCCCAGACAGGCGACATTCTTCTCCATTCACTTTTCTTGGCCCAAACAAAAAGCCGTTTAGCCACAATTGGGTCATTTAATAATACTCGCAATAATACTCGTAAAGAGGGGGAACTCCACCGCATCGCACCGCTCACGATTTCCTATTCTAATTCTGTCAATCATCTCACGCTGCAGTTGATCTTGTGCTCTATTTGATCTTGATTTTGATCTTTAACTTGTCTTGACGCATATTTGATTTTGCCACACCCACCCGCCGCGTCTCCCCGCATTTTCTACGCCTTTTCTTTCCAGCGAAATGCTTTCTACTCCGCACTGATTGTCTTTGTCTCGGCTGAAACGCTTGGCTTTAATGGTTTTTGATTGATTATCGCGTGCCATGGGTGCTCCGATCTCTGTGGGTGCTCCACAGGCCCTCTCCGACTCCGACTCCGGCTCCATCTCCATCTCCATCTAAAGATTCAGCTCCAGGTGGTGTCGCTTGGCCCACGATCGAATCTCTTCTTTGTTGGCTTTCATTTGAAATCTGCTTAATTAGCCCAATATGTGTGCCTGGCTTGTTGACTCCCTGCACGTGCTGTGATCTCCTCCTGCTCCGCCTCCATCCATTCTCCAAATATGCCATGCCATACAATGTGATGTCAGTTCCTGGTACAGAAAACCACTTGGGCAGCCATGAGTGGGCACATCGAATCGATTGTTGAAGTTCAAAGTTGAAACTTGTTGTACAAGGTGGAGCAGATGGGGTAAGCTACGTGACGCATGACTCATTTGTGGTTCAAGGAAAATTGCTTTCAAGTAAGTTGTTGTTCTGATTATCTATATTCCTAGCAATCTTGAAAAATTTAAACACTAATTGGCTTGTATACAGCCTATTAAGTAAAAAGTGCTTATTTCCAAATCAATTAAACTAAGTTAACAAACCAAAGCAAAAGGTTAAATACAGATGACAATGGTAAACTTATGTGCAATTTACTGGAATAACTAATCCGAATTAATTTTCCATTTAAGCCGTAGCTTATCTATGTGCGATATTACTTACCTGCCTGCCAAACTTTCCACTCATTATGAATACAAGTTGACCATTTTGAACCGCAGTTCCTCGATGACTGCATCTCAATCGCGGCCATCAAATGACTCTGACTTTCCCGACTCGGGAAATCTCCCATCTCATCACAATAATGTCCTAGTCGGTGAAATCAAATATCGGAGATGGTGCTGTCGCCATGTTACTCAACCAGATGGCTTGGGCCGATGAGGATATATATTGGGGGTTACCCAACCACCAACTACATATGTCAACACCATGAACTTGAAACCCACTGAAGACCCAGTGGGCCTGAAGCTAAGGAGCAAGAGCTCAAGCCAAAGTTGCAGTTTCCTCTAAAAGCATTTTGTATTCTAATTAGATTGTCAGTGGCACGACAACAACCTCATTTTGGCTCACAAAATGCCTTTTCACATTTGCATTAGCGCCAACGTGAGGAGAGAAGACAAAAATCTACATAAACTTAGGACAGTTGGTCGGGAGTGCACTGCGAAAAATATGCAGACTACCATAGATTCTAACTCTCTTTGTTTAAAAAGAGCTATTTTTTTAATGTTTAATAAAAGGTTTTTGGTCCTTGAAGCTTAAAGTTAACCATTTTGTAAAATGTTCTTAATGAATGGGAAACTCCATTTTCAAATGCACTTTAAAGTTAAGCCGACAATACACCGGTGTACTAATAAATCAAATTTGTAAATATAATATTATTGGCAATACTTTTATTAAAATAGTTTGTTTACTTTCTTAGGTCCTAACTTCATGTGACCATTTCTATGATAAAGATATGCTAAAATATTTTAATTTGTGGTAAATGCAGTAATATCTTCCCAAACTTTGTTGATTCTAAAGGTTGCTAAAATATCTTTAGTATACCTTACTGGTTTTTTTGGCAGTGCAGTGGAGTAGGAGTCTGCAGTTTGAAGTTCATTAACATGCACAGGTTAATTACCGTTGTTGTTGGCCGCTCGAGGAAATGAGCCATTAGAGGAGGGGATTTGCAGCGACGTTGCAGCGCCGCAGTAGCCGAAAGCCGGCGATAAAACTGGCTAAAAGCATACATAAAAAGACACATGTTAAGTGTGTGTATGGCTGGGCTTTATTTTCAGCGGCGGGGAAGGACTGTGACAAATGCTTGAGCTCCAGCAGGAGGACGTGGCCGTGGCCACTGCGCTTTGCTGCCCAACATGCAAAATGTTGCACTGATAAGAGACACAAAGCCAAGGAGTCATCCCGTTTGCCGTTTGTCGTTCGCTGCCTGCAGTTGGCCAACTGCAGCGGTAAATGAGCATCCCGGGCACGATCATTAAAACAAAAGCGGTAGCCGAGCAGCCATCACTGACAAGCCATGGCCAAGAGCAATGGCCAACAAAAAAGCCTTGCAGCTCTCATCGCGTTTTCGACTCTCGGATACCTGGTGTTCTGAAATCGGGAACGTATTTTCAAATTTAAATCGGAACTGATTTGACTTTTCATTCCCCTAACAAAAGATGTATATCCAAAAAGTATGCAAAGATATTTGTCATTCCAATTTCGGCCCTGTTATTGCGGAACTCTACATCACATTAACAAAGGGGTATGCGTTTTATTAAAAGCTTTACTTTCACGAAACACAACTTGTTTGTATCGGATACATTAAAAAAAGAAACATGCTATCTATTAATTATTATGAATGCACTCACTTGAATAACCTGCCACCCATTCATCTGCATTATTAAAGGGTATCCCAAATAAATGCAACCGTAGCACAGCAGGCAGCTACCATGTTTCTGCCTTCTGGTGTTGGATTGCCTTAAACGATCCGCGTGAATAACTAATTTCAATGGAGTCTGCGCCAGTGCCGCCGCTAGCTCCTCAACATTTATCACCCACCATCGGCGCAGAAGCTCCAGGACTGGGCCAGAAGCCATAGCCCGGCTCCAGGAGCCCTAATCC